GTCAGTTGAAGAGACGCTGTGATTGACTCAGATGATTGTCAATTAGAACACTCATTAACATAATTACCCGTTGAAAAATCGACGGGTTCCTGCAGTGTCGATAGAGGGCCATGCAGAATAAACCAGTCGGGGTGATTTCGCAGTTACAAGGGATTTTACGCTAACACCTCCATTTCACAATTTATTTAATTTTATTTAAACTACAAAAACAAATTAATCGCCCCGACTGCGCCAGTCTAAATCTTACCGTTAATCTGATTTGTTCTGCAATATGGACTGTCAAACAAAAATATCGAAAAATATAGAAGATAAGATAATTCTTTATTACTGTCGTGAAGAAACAATACATTAAATCTTCTAGTTTGGTTAAAAAGTGTAATAAAAGTATAAGTTGTAGTTATAGTATAAATGTTTGTTAAACTAAAAGTTTAATGATGATAAAATCATTCAAGGAATTGTTTTCTAATTAATTATTATTGCTGTTTCAATATAGTCAATTAGTTTCATTAGTAATAGTTTTTTGTTTGTGTTGACTATATGAATAAACTTCTGAATTTTATTGAGGTGTTTGAACTGGTCATTTAGAATAGTCTACATGAAATGATTAAATGTATCTCATCTTCAATTTCATTGCATTTTGTCCACTTTCTCTGGTTTAATTACATTTTTGGCCTCTGATGGCATCCAGTTTATAGTTTAGATAGTAGTCCAATATCTGTATATTGTTTTAATATAAGTATATATGGTAAAATTTCAATTTTTTGATGGAGTAGTTTGAAAAAGTTCTAAGTTTTGAATTGTGGCTTTGATTCTCAGTGTTCCATTTTTGAATGTGGTACTCATATGCTTTCTGTTTGAAAAAATGTCTGTAAATTTTTTCCAGGTTATGCGTAATCTTATATATTGATTTCATTTTGTTGCGGTTAGAAAGCCAACAATTGCTGCATGAATAACAGGATTACATGATATGTTTATATTTTGTAGTTTATATGCATTTCTTATCAAGACGACATTGCAAGGGATATTGGTGCATTACCCACTCTCTGGAACTTACTCTTTCCAGACCCACGACTTATCTACGAATATTACGTGGGACCTGCTATCGGAGCATGGTATCGTCTTCGGGGTCCTGCTACATGGGATGGGGCTAAGCAGACCATCTTAAGCACCTGGGACAATACAAAATATCCACTTAATCAAACGACAAATGCTATAAAAAGTGAAAAATCGTCTCTCTTCAAGCAGAGTTTATTTCTTGCAGGTGGTTTTTGCTTTGTTTATCTGTTAGTTAATCGCGAGAAAGCATGCCAATTAATTAATTGGATTGAACAGTTGTGCCCAAGAAACAAATAAACAGTTTAAAAGGTGACAAACTTTGCTCTATGACCCCTCTGATATCTCCAATATATATCTTATTGCAGAATCAACTGTAGCTGAAAATTAAGCATTGGATAAAGTTAAAGTTAATTATTAATGAAGTTATGATAAATTATGATTAATTATGATAAAGTTAATTATACACAAATGTATGCATGTCTGATTGTTCATCATCACGTGTCTTATCATCAGTTTTCAACTTTGGGGATGTCTACTTAAAAACAGTCTTCTCGCTTACATAATTACAAGGTAGGTAGCTTTGGTGAATGTACATCAAATAATGATGAAGATACCTTCAGTTTGCTATTTTATAGTAAATTTTTTTTGTAAAAAAATACTATTTTCATTTTTTTCTTGAAAAACTTACAATGTGATTGATTTTATGTATACTTAAAATTTATATAAATTAGATTTCATCTATCATTTTCTTATTATGATAACTTTAATATTTTTGGTAAAACAAATAAATATTGTTTTTTTCATTCAGTGACAAGTTTTAATTGTTCAATTTATTGATGAATAACTAGATTTGTGCAGCTCGAACAGCTGTGCTATACAATTGACAACGTATTTGTTTGAATGAATTTTTTTACTTGTTCAAAGTAAAGGCTACTTTGATTGTTCAAGTCAAAGCTCATATGCGGGAATGCATTAGTAATATAAATACTAACTTTGGAAGTCAATTTAAACAGTGACAGCTTCACATTCTGTGACTAATCTCCATTAGCCATGGGTGAAACAAATTAAAAAAATAATTGCTCAGTGTAATTGTTATTACATAGTATAATTAGGATATACATTACATATAAATAAATAAATAAATAAATAAATAAATAAATAAATAAATAAATAAATAAATAAATAAATAAATAAATAAATAAATAAATAAATAAATAAATTTATAGAAGAGAAGTATCAATTATGCGATATATGAATGAGAACATGATACCATTGTCCAGGCTATGGTCTTTTATAGCCAAACAAGAAACCTACTGGACTCAATGGTAGAGCGAGAACTAGATAGCTGGTGAATATAAAATACATTAGTAGCTTTTCTTTTCAGGCTGAAGGTAGTACAGACGAAACAATCCACTAGGTTTCCATGTTTACTCTCACTGTCCTACATGTGTTAAACGGTGATAGGTATAGAAATAGCTTGGCTAATAATTTGCATAATAATAGTTTTATCTTTTTTCATTATATAACTGCTTGCACAAATGCATTGAGACTTTAATTTAATATGCTAATAAATATGCTTTTAGTAAAGAAGATCTATGTGGAGCAGATTTCAAGAAAAAGAAAACGATGCGCCCGGTGATGAAGGAAGCCTATGAAAAAGGTGAGAAAGTAAGATTCAGTAATGGCACAGTCTACATTAATGGACAGAGATACAAAGAGAATTAAAAGAGAACAGTGAGAGAACTTTTAAAACAGTGAGCAGATGTTTAAATAGAAAACATTCACTAAATGTGTGAGAAGGGGAGTAATGACAATATTGTTTGCGTTAGGCACATAGTTGTGAGCAAACATGGGCTTAGGCAAGAGTTGTTTTTTGTTATTGTTCGTTCTTTGTGTTTTTAAAACTTTTAAATGGGGAAAGTTCTTAATGAAAATGGGATTAAGATACAAACTTAAACACATTTATTGTATATGGTTCCAAAAGTTAAAATTTTGAGCTTAAATGTTCGTGGCCTTGGTTATTACAAAAAAAGAAAAAAGGTGTTCAAATGGATTTCTGAAAGTAAATCGAAAGTTATAATGCTACAAGAGACACATAGTTTAGAATCAACAGCAAA